ACTGGTTCATACTGGTCCATACTGGTTTATTATATCATTATTGGGATATAATATGTCCAATATATAACGCAGTCCTTCTGAATGATGAGCAGCTTGCCGTCTTCGTTGCACGTTATTGTCTTATATTACACTACAGGCTAATAATGAAGACAACAACTCCCATAATCCCACGCTGCTCCACCAAACTCATTGTTTTGATGTGCGAGGCCCAGTGGCAGAAATTAGACACTGTAGGTTTAAAGTTGTGAACATAAAACTGAGAGAATATCAGTAATAACATCAACACAACTTCTTCTGTGTCTCTGTCCTACAACCACCGACCAAACATCCATGAAGAGAGTGAATCTGTTTGTACGATACCGTTTGAATTAAAACATTTTTATAGTGTTTCCCTCTTGAACAGAGGTATGTGAGTGCATAAATTAGACACCTTATCTCATAATTATGAGATCAGGATCTTAGAATTGTGAACAATATACAGGGGAAACATGAATACAAACTTTATTGTCCCAGTCTTTTTCTAACACAGTTAGATGTAATGATTTAAAGTGTCCACCAGGTGGAGCTGTTGGACCCGGTGGGATATTAGTGTGCACAGTGCAGGTCGGGGGCTGTTTTCAGTCTTTTATTGGCTCTGAAGCAGAAAATAAAACCGTTTCCTGTTTGTTTTTCAGTGCAACGGGATGTCGAACCGGTTCTGGGGTTGGGGCCGAGAGGACGACGAGTTCTACAGGAGACTGAGGAAAGCCGAGCTCCAGGTACAAGAGCTCATCAGACCTCGTTAGAAAGGTTTTATCGTTTACCTCTCCGTCGGTTGTTTCAGTGTCGCTGTTTGTCTCCGCAGCTGTTCAGACCGAGCGGAATCACAACAGGATATAAAACCTTCCTCCACATCCACGACCCGGGCTGGAGGAAGAGAGACCAGAAGAGAGTCGCAGCTCAGAAACAGGTCCAACAGTTCACCTGTTCACAAACACTCCATGTTTAAAACAGTGGCAGCTTTATATTCTTATTAACGTCCTCGTTCCCCCGTAGGAGCAGTTCAAGGTGGATCCGGAGGGGGGGCTGACGAACCTCCGGTACCAGGTGGAGTCCAGGCAGGAGCTGACCATCAGCGGCGCTCCCTGCACCGTCATCAACACCAAACTGGAGTGCGACCAGAACCAGACGCCCTGGTGTCTTCTGGGATAGAGGACGTACTCAGGACGGGGGGGTCCGAGGCCCCGCCGGTCCACCTGGAGGGTTTTATGATCCGGCAGCGCTGCACGGATCCTTCGTGGAAACGCTGGTTTTAATGGTTGCAGCTGGAATCAATAATGGTACAAACGTATTGATCATTGATTGATTCCCAGGATACAGTTCCTCCTCATCAGGTACATCTCAACAATAAACCGGCTGATGGTTTCAAACTGCTCATGAACAGAACTCCTGAACCGACCGGACACGCGGGCGGGTCGGTGTCTGACCTCTGACCTCTGACCGCGGACACAGAGACGCTCTCATTGGTCGGTCTGTGGTCTCGGTACCAGCCGGTGTGAATGCGAACTTTAAGTGTGTTTAGTTGTTTTTGGGTTTGTGCAAACGGAGCCGAGTAGAAAGAATCAAACTGTGAGTTCAGATTTTTAAAGATTTTAACAGAAAGTAGTTTGTCAATATCTCGTCTTATTTTTAGTTTCCTGCTGAGTTTATCTGCCGGGGGGAAAGCAGTATGTGCTTTTATTTTTTTATAGTGTTTCTCTCTTGAACGGAGGTACAGAGCATTTAATTCACAGTTAGACTCCTTATCTCATCATTATCTTATTGTCATGATGAGTAATTATCTGATAATCAGGAGATAAGGCGTCTAAATGTTTCCTTTAGTAGACTCAGTGTGTTTCTGTACACAAAGAAACTGGAGACTTTACTGATTTCTGTATCTCAGTATTTATAATTACAAGATCTTTTTCCTAATTACGTCTCCAGATTAAGTTTCTTTGGTGAACGTGTTTCTGTTCTGTACAAAGTAAACTGAGCCAAACCAGGCTGAACTCAACTGTAGCAGGTTATCAGACGGTTTGTTAGCGGCAGCAACCTTCAGCCGGGAGCCGCGGTCACATGACATTAATATTTGAATCCAACATCTCTGAGACGTTGGTTGGTTTCCACTCAGCAGTGGATTCGTCCATCAACAGTTCGCTCTGTAAATAAAAACCTTTGATAATGTTCCCAGTGCCAAAACAACCTCGCCACAAGCTTTAGATCAGATCACGTGATCTTCCTCAGCAAAATGGAGGTGGTTAACTCGTCCTTTAAAGGTTATATATGAGATATTAAACATTATATTCTCTATATACAGACACAGAGTCACATGGTGTCTCTCTCCCTCTGTCTGTGTTGTATCGCAGCCTCTCTGTGGTTTGTTTCCATAGCCGGTCTGCTCCGACTGAAACTGCT